GTAACAAAGCAGCTCATGGTCTAAAACTCAGTAGTAGTAGCAACTGTGGGCAACTCAGTCATGAAACTGTTTCCCCAAGGAGAAAAATTGGATTAGCGGAACGTACACCAGGCCAATTGGGCATCAGATGAAAATATGAACAATGCCTGTACACTTTGCATTATACCTGAGTCTGATAGCGTGAGACCCAATTGTAATAAACACAACTTGACTTGGAAGACTTTTCTTGCTTGGATCTTTTCTAGACTATTCCTATTTAGTTTCTTACAGAGTGAGTGTGCATGGGCTTTTGTGCATAAGGAGAAGCCCTAGGTTTGTTACTGTGGGTATAGTATGTAACATACCAGTGTAAAATGTCCCAAGTAGGAAGCAACTTACCCTGAGGAGCAATCGCTGGGGGCCCCACCTTTCTGAGGCTGGGAGCTGCAGCAGCATCCATACAGTGCTGCTGGGGCTCCGCTGTCTTCCAGAGGGACCAATTTAGCACCATAGTATGCTCCACCCTTCTCATCCACAGGGTGAATCTTGGGTTTATCTGGCTATCCTCTCCCAAGAGCCACCCTCACTGCCAAGTTTTCCCTTGGCAAGGCTCTGCCTTCCCCTGGGCAAAAGTGCATTAAAATGGCACAGAAGAACCCAGTCAAAGGCACAACAGTACTACCACTTTCTCTGGGCACCTGCCACTGCCGGCGTCTCCCGTAAGCCTTGTGTGGGTGTCAGCAGCTCAGCCCACTTCACAGGCTCTGTGAAAAAATGTTCCTTCTGAACCCACCCTTCTCAGCTACAGGCCTCATTTCCTGTTTGGCCCCAGAAACCCCCCCTTATTTCTTCTCTCTGGGAGGAAGAGAGCTGACCGCTGCCAAGTGTTCCGGTGGATCATGGATACAGCTCTCCTCACTTGCTGCTTATTTATATCTTTTCCGATCTTTGGTCGCTTAGGACTGAATGCCTAAGTATCGACCTGTGTGAATCTAGTTTAACACGCCCCGTTATGCTTTCCCTATCCAAGAATTTACAAAACACACCTGAATGTCCTTTTCACCAGAAGGACCTCATTTCCTAAATGGATACTTAAAATTTTACACTTAGTTTCTAATAATCCCTCTCCTCTACACGGGTTGCAATATATCATCTTGTCTATTTGGAGCAGAGACATGTTTTCAACTGTAAGAGCCTCCCATTGTGATGGTCCGTATGTAAGGTGCTGATTACCTACTTAATTTCTCTCCACTAGTAGATGGAGCAGTAAGCCAGTAGCAGACATTTAACACGAATTTCCTTGTAAGAACTCAACCTCTAGAACCTGGTAACAGGATTGAGTGTCTTTCTAGAAGAACAAGGAGATTTAGAAAAGTTCATTGGCTCATGCCTTAGGCTCAAAACGCCCTACGCAAAACTTGAACTTTTGCGTGTGTTGTTAGCAATTAAGAGTTAAATGAAGTGCTTTATGCGTATGGGGAACAGGTCATGGATGAAGAGGGGAGAGTACCAAGTTCCTAGTATTTGAACTCCTGGGAGGTTTATGAAATTCAGAGAAACCAAGGACTAGACCGTGGAGTTCACTGCTATCAGCCCGGTCACTAATTTTAAAGACCAGTCAGTTTCCCTAGCCTTCGCTGTTCACATTTCATGTTTCCACTCAGCCTCATCTAATTCTCCATCTTCGTTCTCAGAATATTAGATTTAAACAGACCCTCTGATGACATCTGATCTGGTCTTCCCAGTTGTACAGATGAGGAAACTGAAGCTCAACAAGAACAGAGCTGGGGCTTAAGGAAGCACGTGTTACCCAAGTTCTGGAAAAGTGACAGTGACTTGTCCGGCATTTCCCTTGCCACTAACAGCAGGGTGTAGCCCGGGTCACAGGGTTTCCTGGGCCCACTCCCCACCTGCAGCCCTGAGTTTGGGCCAGTGGCCTCAGGCCACAGATTACTTTCTTTGTACATGACCATTGTGTATAAGGAGAGGAAGAATCTGGGTACAGAAATAGCTTTTAGCGGTAACTTGAACTCATTCAATTGCTAACAGGCACTAGAGAAGTGTTAGTACCCATTCTAGGATTACAAAATAAATAGAAACCCTGCCCTTACCTTCAATTTAGAGGTAAATTGGGAGAGTACAGGAAGAAAAATACACAGTAGACATGCGCCTCATATGTGCAAATACGAGTCCTCTAAACTGTAGTGGGAGAGTAGCTTAGGGTTCATGTGTGGGAGAGAGTAATGGGGGTGGAAACCTAGGCCTTGGCCAAACCGTGAATGGAATTTAAGCTAAGAGTGCATGATACCTAAGAAAGATCCCCAGGGCTTTGAAGAGATGAATGACAGACCTTTCAGGGAGGTCAGTGTGAAGGTGAGGGGTGAAAGAGGGGGTATATGAGTCAGGCAGGGGTCAGGGATCCTGGTGGTTAACCTTTCAGTCCTCTGGGGATGTGTGATGAGGCTCAAATTTCTTCTCTGCCAACTGCATTGTAGGGCCATTCACACATTGGCAGGATAGAATGTTCCTCAACAGCATGGTTTGTATTTTATTCTGAAAACATTTTTATTAAACAGATTGAATTTGTTCCATTTTTATTAAACAGATTGAATTATTCCCTCCTAGAGAAGCTATTAGCCTGATAAAAGGCACGAAGAAGCCCCCCACACACTCACTGGCACCCCCAGCTTCTTCCTGCCCTGGCGACCTTGCTCTACAGAGAAGCAGCAGTCACACCGGTGGGAGCCAAGACCGCTCCGCCTACCTGTTTTAACCACTGCTTCTTCAGTGGGTGTGGGAGTTTGCTGTTCTCTCAGCCTGGAAGGCTTCCCTCTCCCTCTTCCCCCTCTTTTTTTTTTTTTTTTTTGAGTTTTAGGTGAAAGAAAAAGCTCATTACCAAAGCAGTGAGACAGAGGGTGGCTACTCCACAGATAGTGTCCCCCCTCTCTTTCATTTTCCTGCTCCCGTTGTTGCAGGAAAATGACGCGACCAGACACCGAGGGTTTCTGGAGTATGAGGTTTATTTAACGTGCACGGGCCCAGAGGAGTCAGTGTCCAAATTCTGAGCCCCGAACAAAGGATTCTTGGGGTTTTTATAGTTTACAGGGTCTTCTTCTCTACGTAGCAAAGCCGGATACAGAAGCGGAATTCGGAAGTTAGTTCTAGCTATGGGGCAGAAGCAGAGGACAAAGGCTAAATTCGAAGGTCAGTTTTTAACAGAGGGGTGTTAATCTCAATCTAGCTAATGCACTGTTGTTTACTTATCCTAGACAGCCCCATCATTCTCCCTAGGGCGCCTGGGGCCTGGGCAAATAAAGGTTAAACAGAGGTTTTCCAAAGTTTCCCATATCACTGTAGCACTTCCTGACCACCCTGCCTAAAATATCACCCTTTTCTCCAGCCCTGGATTCTGGTTTATTGGTCTTCATCTTCCTTGCACACTGGACTCTCACACTGGACTATGTGAGTTCCACAAGGCAGGGCCCAGAATAGTTTTGTTTTCCAAGGTGCTAGCAGAATGGCAGGCGTGTCGAACCTTGCTGAATGAATGATGTAGGAAACAATAGGGCGGTGGCTGAAGCACCTTTGACAGCTCCTCCCGCAGCCTCCGCAAGGGAGGGCCCTGTGCAGGCTCCAAAGTTCACTCCTCCTTAGTGAGGGCGTGGGGGCCGGACTGGAGAATGGGCCGGGCGGGGGCTGTGCTAATGCAACATCTGCTCTACTTGCAGATTCCCCCCTTCTCCAGGCATGCCCTGAGTAATCTTGAAAAGATTTCATCCATTCAATGAGAACACGAACTTTGGTGTGTAAAGAGGATTATTAGAAGTGAGTGGTGATGGCAGTGACGGGAGTGAAGGGCTTCAGGCAGGGTGGTCATGCTGTTTCCCATGAGTATCTTCACTGTGGTGTGGTTGCTACCTAGTCAGTGTTAAGTTTAGGGTGAGTTTTCACTCCCAACAGCAACTTCTGAGGGGCTGGCCGCCTGCAGCTAGCCTTTCTAGAGTGTCAACTGAGAGACAGGGAGGGAGGGAGGAAGAGTGAGAGAAACATGGAAGTGTGAGAGATACATCGCGCGCCCCCCAACCAGGAACCTGGCCCACAACCCAGCTGTGTGCCCTGACCCAGAATAGAACTGATGACCTTTTGGGTTGCAAGCCAGTGCTCAATCCACTAAGCTACACCAGGCAGAGCTGTGGTTTGCTCTTAATCAGCAGAGAGGAAGTGTTTTGAATATAAGCCAGTGGATAATAATTCGGGGCAGGGGGGAAACGCAAAACATGCAAAACACTTGTTTGCTTTTATCAAACCTTCCCTAGAAATGCGTGGAATTATGATGCAGAAAATTTTCGGTAAATTTGGTACTTGCCAGAAATCCAGAGTCTTTGTGCTACATGCTAGGTCCTGACTCCTCAGGGGCCTGATCCCTTTCTGAGGTGTTAGCTGTAAACAGCAGCCCTGCCTTGTCTCCACTCTGGCTGTTCGTGGGAAAGCAGCCCCCAACTCAACCAGAGGGCAAGCTCTCAAAGGTCTGATAATGCGCTGCCAGTTGGGCTGAAATCTGAGCGAGGCCCAGGCCCAGTGAAAGCCTGGCAGCCACAAGTGGGGGCCAGGAACCATCAGCCTTAGCATCTCCTGGGAGATCTTAGGAAATCAGCTTCACTCTGGACCAACTGAATCAGAATTTGCATTTGAAAAAGATCCCCAGATGATATGCCTGCACTTTAAAGTCTGGTCGTGAAAAGATAGAAACAGGTAATTCCAGTACCAAATGGCCAAGGAAGTAAATCTGCGTTATCCCTTCCGCTGCTACCGATCAGCCTCTGCTGTTCAGTTAGTTCTGTAGCCCTGGGCTCTCAGTGGTCTCTCTCGGAACAGATCGCTCCTGCCTCTGACATGGCTACCAGCAGCAGGTTTGAAAGGTGAGATGCGGTTCCGTTAAAGGCACCTGGAAATCAATCACTAGGAATGAGAGCCAGCCCTACTCATGAAATCGAGTCCTTCTCAAGAACGCACAGAAGCCTACTCATGACTCTGGGCATCACCGTTACAAGAGGAAACGATTTCTAGTCGCACTTCCTGTGGAAACTGGCACTTAAAGCTTTTCCAACAATAGACCTGATGCTGCACAGAAGACAGCATGAACCCAAAAATAAAGGAGGCAGGAACTTCAGCAGGGCTCCCTCGCCTCTTTCAGCAATCTTACACCAAGAGGTGCAAAGTTCTGAGAGCAAGATTTCTGGGAACAGTGCTCAGGCAGCCAGGAACTTGTTGGTAATTAAGGTTTAAACTCCAGAAGGTTGTACTGGAGACAAACAGCTTTTGTGAGTATGCTGCAAGTCTTACTTTCAAATTTTATATAGAAATGAGAGATCTATAAACATGTCCTTTAGAGTAATATGATCAACAACTTCCATTTTGCACCAAGTATTTAATTGACGGCCTTCTAAGTCTAGGGCGAGGAAGCTGAGGGACAGAACGGTACAGTATCTGTCCTTTCGTTCTTCTCTGGCTTCTAGAAGGGAAACTCTGGCATGACCTCAACTTTCAAATCAAAAAGTAAGCAATAAAAAGAGATAAATCCTATTTATAATGAGGAAATGTAAATATGAGTGAATCGGGTTATTTCATTCCAGGAAAGCTGCTATATTTACACGACTCTACGTTTATTTTTAAGAGCTTCATTCAAACATAGTTGGGAGTAGACCGGTCTCTTGAGAGCGTGCATGAAAATGAATTATCCAGCAGAAAAATTAATAATATTTAATTACGTCGATGCAAAGTTCATCAGCATTTCAGAATATTGTTTCAGGGTGTTAAATCGATTTTTTACTCTCCATGGCTGAGTCTGACTTTTTTGTTGTTATTGTCCCTTGTCAACAAGATGCAAAGTCGCTACATGTCCTTCGGCTGAAAGGATGATGAATGAGCCTGTCACCCTATAAAACCCCCGATTCCTCTGGAGAGAAAAACAACTCTGTAAAAAGAAAACCCAACCCAACCTGTAGTAATCATCCACAGAGGTCTAGTTTGGCCACAGGAAAGGAAGACTGCCCTCCAAACCAGTCACAGGAGCACGAACATGTCCAAGGTTCCGACTCCAAGCCCCAAGGTAACAGACACGTTTAAGGTACGACGGTGGTGGCGTGAGTCCTCCATCCAGGCAGCGCAAGCTGGGGGCGCCGTCTACAGATCCGAGTCGCAGGGCAGGGAGCTGTGGCAGGGGCGCGTGCTGCGCGAGGAGGCGCCGTGGGAGTGGGCCCCCGTTTCCCCGTCGAGCACGTCCACCGCGTTGGTGTAGGTCTTGGGTGGCGGCCGCGGCATGGGGAAGCCCACCTTGGGCTTGTCCGTGGGGCCCGCCTCCGCGGGCCGCGGCCGGTGCTGGCCGTCGCTGTAGTACTTGATGGCGGGCGTGAGCGCGGGCTGCGGCCAGTCCACGTACACGGTGCTGACGCTGGGGCGGCGGGCGCTGCCGGAGGGCGCTTTGCGGCGGCGTCGACAGCACTCCTCGCACCAGGGCGCGAAGCTGAGCGCCAGCGAGGAGCCGCCCAGCAGAAGCAGGCAGCTGCCCAGGTAGCCCAGCACCAGGCTGTAGCTGACTTCCACCTTAACCGGGCTCTCCGGGGCGGGCAGGACGGCACGATTAGCCAGGACGTGGTTGTACCAGGACACCGGGATGAGGCTGAAGAGGCCCGCGGCGAAGAGCACCAAGCCGGAGAAGCCGGCCAGCGCAAAGCGGGGCTCGTCCTCCCAGCAGCGCACGCCGAGCGACGCCAGCAGCAGCCCCAGCGCAGTGACCGCCAGGGACGTCACCATGAGTCCGCGCGCCACGAGCACAGGTTCAGCCTTGAAGTACCCCAGGTCGTCCTGCTGGCCGCACTGGCGCTCTTGGCTGCTCTGCTCGCGGCAGATGTCCCAAAGGCCTTGGTACAGCACCACGTCCACCGGCTGGTTGAGGAAGCCCTTCAGCTGCCGCCAGCCGGGCGCCAGCGTGCCGGTCAGGTTGAGCAGCAGCCCGCAGGGCGCGAGCACCATGCCCACTGTCATCGCCACCGGCGTCCGCATCCCGGGGGACCGCGCTGCACCGCCGCGGGACAGCGCACCTTTCGCCTTCTCCGCGGACGCCTTCTCTGCCGCCCGGCGATCTCAGGCCAGCGCGCGCACGGAGAGCACCGGCTCCGAGCCCCGAAGTGGGCACGGGCGCCGCCAAGGGCCGGGGGCCTGCGCCCCACTCTTTCCCGGACGCCCTAGGTTTGCGACGCAGGACCGTCCCCACTCGACAGCTCGCCCCTAATTCCCTCCAACGCAGCTGCCTTCCCCGATCGATACCTGTCGAGGGTGGGTCCCACCGATACCGCGGTCCGAGGTGCGGCCGTCCAGAAAGGAACCCCGCGACCAAACCCCCCCGGGTGGCAGGGACGAGCAGGCCCCAGCCCGCTCCAGTGTCCAGTGAGCGCCAACACCCGTCTCAGGAGCCAGGCTTCTCCCGGAGGGAGCAAAGGTTGCCCCGCCCTGGTGCCTCCCCAGGCTCCACCGGCGGTGGGCGGGGAAGGAAAGAGGCGGTGCCGCTCCGGGGGCGCGCCCAGCTAGTTGTTGTTCAGTTCCCCTGCCTTCCCGGGTCTCTACTGTAGAGTTTTTCTCTGCTCCGGCTTTGGGCCCCAGGCGTAGCCTCTCCTCCCGCCCCTCCGGCGCACGCCTGGCGGTCCGTCCTGGTTTTACGCTGTTCACTTGCAGCCACTCCCGGCCGAGTGGGCGGTGCCTCGGCTCCCGGCGCCACCTAGCACGCGGGCAGGTACGCACCAGGGTCCTGAACCGGGTCCCGAGCCTCGCACTGGAGCAATTTCGTTTCGTAAACCTGTTTACTGTGCTTATTAACAAGGTCTTCATCGTCCAGGTTAAACTTGACTCAAAAGTATGAAAGCGAGCGTGTTTCTGGGACAAGGGGTTATTTTATTTTGTTTTTCAGACTTGAAAAGCACGCACAAAGAGGTGTTGCTAGATTGCACACTTTTCAGATTTATCTGACTATACAGCGTACTGTTTTGAGCCGTTTTACAACTCTGTAAACTGTAGAAAAGCCTGTGGTTGCGCAGCTGATTTTTGTCCATAGAAGCGCGGACGGGTTTTTCCGTAGAGTGTAAAGGATTACCGCCCGATCACTGACCAGTTTGGTATTGCTTTCTAAATTCACTCCGGCATGCCTGTGGGCCTAAGTATTTGTGCTTTTTGAATTCTTCTTTGAACTGGCTGTAACATCCTACTGGTTCCATTATTAATAACGAGTGAAATAAAAATTTCGACACGTCTTCATTTTATAGTGAGTCATGATTTTACATTTTTCTAAAAATTATCCTTTAACAATATTTTCTTCTTGGTCCATATTTCTTAAATGGAAGTATATTGTGTTTGTAATTGGTTTAAATTAAAACATTTAAAAAATCCATGTTAATTTAGCATTGGTTTGAAATAACTTTGAACATTTTGTTTTCTAATTTTATTTTTCAAATACAATTCACATTCAATATTATTTGTATTCGTTATAGGTCTTTAGCTAATTTTTAACATTTTAGGGTGGATGATAGGAATTACGACCTTTCTTTCAGAAAATGGTTTAATTTTAAAAGCTGTTTGCATAACAGAATTTATTGTCTTAACCGTTTCTAAGCGTACAGCTCATTGGCATTGAGTAAATTCATATTGTTGTGCTACCATCACTACTGTTCATCTCCAGAAGTTTTCCATCGTCCCAAACTGAAACTCTACCCACTTATCAATAACTCCCCATTTCCATCGCCATCCCTTCTATCCCCAAAGCCCTTGGCAACCAATATCTACTTTCTTTCCTTCCTTCCTCCCTTCCTTCCTTCTTTCCTCCCTTCCTTCCTTCCTTCCTTCCTTCCTTCCTTCCTTCCTTCCTTCCTTCCTTCCTTCCTTCTTTCATTCCTTCCTTCCTTCCTTGCTTCCCTCCCTCCCTCCTTCCCTCCTTCCTTCTAATATGTAATATGTCACAGGTTTGCACGTCATCCTTGTGCTGGGGCCACGCTAATCTTTTCTGTATTGTTCCAGGGTTAGCACTGGTACTGCCGAAGCGAGTACCACCATTCTGCTTTCTTCGTCTGTGACCCCAAGGACTCTGGATACTTCATATAAGTGTAGTCATTCAGTATTAACGATGATATGCTTATTTCACTGGGCATAATGTTGTCAAGATTCACTCATGTTGTAGTGTGTGTCAGAATTTCCTTCCTTTTTAAGGCTAAGTAATATTCCATTGTAGGTATATACCACGTTTTGTTCATCCAGTCATCCTTTGGTGCATACCTGGTTTGCCACCTCTTTCTGGTGACTACGGATAATCCCACTATGAACACGGGTGCATGAATATCTCTCGGAATCCCTGCTTTCAGTTCTCCAGAAGTGGAATTGCTGGGTCATATGGTTTTCTACTTTTAACTTTTTAAAGACACAACCTACTGTTTTCCAGAGCAGCTGCATGGGCACTGGGCTATAAGTGAGTGTGTTAGTTTTTATCTGTACTCTTGCTAAAAAACAAAACTTAACTGAGCAAATTTGAAGATCTGGTTGGCTTCTTAAGTGATCATTAAGTGGGCAACATCCTATCAGAAGGAGCCTAATGGAACTTGTTGATCAACATCCTATCAGAAGGAGCCTAATGGAACTTGTTGACCAACATCCTATCAGAAGGAGGCTCTGACAAGTTGCACAAAATGGAAGGTTCTTATAGGCAGAAAGGGGGTGAAATGAAGAAGTTAAAAGAGTGGATGATTACAGGTAAAGTCACCTTCCATTAGGGGAAGGCAGGGGGCCTATCAGGAACATTTTTATAGGAAGATGAGTGGGATGAGGTAGCCCTTCAGTGTGGGGATGGCAAAAAGGATTATTTTTTAACCTTTGGGGGAAGAGAAATTGCATCTTCTGTGGTTGGGGAGAGAGGGCAGAGAGGCCTACATGACAGATTACCGTACTGGTGCTTGACCCCAAAATTCCTTACTGGTTGATTAAGATTATGTTTCTGCAAAAGGTTGAAGCTACAATTAGATCAGGTATTAAATGTATTTTGTATCATGGGCTTGCAACACCAGTGACAGCATTTTGGGCCTGTAGTTATTTTCTTTAACACAATGAGCCCTACACAGATGATGTATAATTAACACACAAGACCCTGCACGGACTGCACTGCTGTTTTGACATATCCGTACACCCGTGGAACCTGCCCTTGGCAATCTCTTCTCTATCTCTCCCTGCCTCTCCTGTTCCCAAGCAACTACTGATCTGATTTCTGTTACTATTAGTTTGCATTTTCTAGAATTTTGTATAAATGGAGTTATACAATATAGACGGCATGTCTCCCATGGCCTATCAACTCCCCAATTTGTCTGAACACAGGGAATTCCTGGGATGACCCCTTTGGGAAAAAAGAAATCCCCATTAGCTCTGAGAAAGCATTTTCACTTTGAATGCACTTTACAATTTGTCTCTACATTTAGAACCTAAGTGATGGTTCTTTGGAACAGCAAAGAGGCTTCGTAAGGACTTCATGGGCTCTGAATCCTCTTCCAAAAGTTGTTTTCTTCTCACTTAGATTTCTCTACGGAGCGAATGAGGCCCAGGTACTATTTACCTGTGAGAAAAAAGGACTCTTGTATGTTCTGCCTCCTAAATCTCTCTAGTCATCCATTTCTCTTTCTTTCCTCTTGCCGCTACCTAAGCCCAAACCATCTCCTAGTCTTTCTCTTTAAACTGACTCCTAGATGGCCCTGACCAGTGTGGCGCAGTTGGTTGGGTGTCATCCTGCAAAGAGAAAGGTCCCTGATCCTATGCCTGGTCAGGGCACACACACAGGTTCCAGATTGGATCCCTAGTCAGGGTGTGTCCAAGAAGGCAGCTGATTGATGTTTCTCTCTCACCCCTCTCTCTTTTCTGAAAGCAAGAAAAAATGTTGTCAGGTGAGGATAGAAATAATAATAATGATAATTAATAATAATAATAAATAAACTGACTCTTAGCTGGTACCTTACACTGAGGCTTTCTCTCTCCATTCCCCACATGGGCCCTCAGAGTGGACGTTTCACATTTCAATCAAGTCTTGCACCTGATTTAACCCTTCACAAGACCTTTCACAGGTCAGCCCCAACCACATACCCCTGCCCATCACCCTCTCCCCCCGCAGCACCATCTTCTTGCCCTGTAACCCAGTAAATCCAGACTTTTTTCTGGATTTCCTTTTGCCTCTAGGTCCTTGACTATGCTGCCCCCTCACCCAGAGTCCTGCCTGCCACTTCCCAACCCCACACGTGCTTCAGATGGTCGTGTTTCCTGCTGTGTACTCCCACGACTCCCTCTTCCATCCTAACACCTGCCTCAATTCCTTCTTGAATCATCTAGTTTTGTAGTTGGTCCGCAGATTCTCTGTGGCAGGCATCAGGTTCATCTTGCTCTGTTTTGCCCTGAAATCCATCTTCCTGCCTGGCCTACAGCAGCCATTCAGCAACTCGATTTTATCTCCATCTGTCCTGTGTTCATTCATGTAGTATTCACAGAACTCTCTTACAGGTGACTGTCTGACCAAAAAGGATTGTGACATTCATCTCAGTGAACAGGCTTGCTTGAATGTTTGTTTTTCCTCAGCCTGGAAAATAATGAGGTAATGATTAGCTCCAGATATTCCCAACAAAGTATAGGTACACGGGGGTAACTTTCTATGGTAATTTTAAAAAGTATGAGTGAGCTAAGCATAGCATCTGATTAGGGATCTCGGCTCTTTGTTCTAGGCACTTCCGAGTTCATTGTGGGGCCGAGTGAGAAACAAAGCATGAATCATAGTGTGGCAGGAATGAATTATTGCCAAGATTAGTACCTGTCTGTGTAAGGTGATCCCTGGCTCAGGAATAGCTTTCTTTTCTGAAAAGGGGCCCTGAGGTAAGACAAGGATCTGTTTACAGTGCCCCAGGTTTCCTGAGGAATAGTGGGCTCCCAATGGCTAATTCTAAAGGGGCTCATGCTGGGTCCTGCGAGCCTGCAAAGGCTGGGTCTAGATACCACCTGGTGCAAAATCCCAATCTTCCACAGACTTCTATAAACTTTGAGGGGCAAAGAGGGTCCTGCCACGGCAGCGTGCTGTTATGAGAAATCCTCAGATTCCCTATACCTGGTCTTTCTATTGTCGATGTAAGAAACATCCAAACATGTAGGAAACTTTTATGAGAGTTTATTTGAGCCAGACTGGTAACATATGCCAGGGATCAAGAGCTCCCATGCTCCAGGGAAAAACGGTTTTGCAGCTTTTATGCCTTTGAAATTAAGGAGGGAATGCAAGGAAGCTTACATGGCGGTGAGGAAGCAAGGGAGGGATTGAAATATAGGATAGTTAACAAAGTTATGTGCTCTCTCGAGGGTGGTAACAGTTTATTTCAAAGGTATGTTGTCCTAGATGCACAGAAATAATGGGCAGGGCTTGCTTAAGGCAAAGATAAACCTTTTACTAAAAATTATATGCCTGAGGCATGACTCTTCACTGTGGCCTGCTCGGTTATGAATTATGATAAGATCACCCGGTGAGGTTACCTTCCATCCAACCCCTTTTCTTGTCCACACTATTTTACTCGCCACAGAATAAGGCCCTACATAAACACTGTCACTAGTTTTCCAATGGCAAATCCAGTTCAGTGGGTTATTGAATAAAAATTAAACTATGATCATTATCTTATTTTTTAATTGATTTTAGAGTGAGAGAGGAAGGGAGAGAGAGAGAGGAAAAAATCAATTTGTTGTTGCATTTATTTATGCATTTAGTGGTTGTTTCTGGTGTTTGCCCTGATCGGAGGTCAAACCCACAACCTTGATGTATTGGGGCAATGGGGCAGAGCATATCCTATTTTCAATGGCATTAAAACGGTTTAAATCGAACTAAGTCCCCACAGCATGTCATTAGCTATCCTGGTTGGCCTATGGCCTGACAGCCTAGTGTGTCTAATACTGTAGAAAATAAACATGACTTTTGACATGCAATTTAAAGCAACCCCAAATTAGCTCAATATCATATCACCCTAATTTATTTTCTTTATAAAACTTACCACTACCACATATTTTCTTATTAACTATGTGTATTAACTTATTGCTATTCTGTTTCTCTCACTGCTTCATGACTTCCAAAATTCTAGGGACTTTCCTGAGCCTTGATTATGGCTACATACCAGCCCCTGGAATAATGTCTATACCATAGCAACTATTCAATAAAGAGTTATTAAATAAATGAAAGAAGTTTTGCAAAATTAGTAACACAAAAAGAAAGATATAGCATGCATCATTTAAAAATGATAGTAGAATGTTTTGAGCATAAAATGTATGCTCCTAACCATGTTTGGTCCTAACAGACATGGTCCTAACCATGTTTAAGCGTATAGTTCAGTGGTGCTAAGTACATTCACATTGGTGTGTGACCAGTCTGCAGAACTCCTTTATCTCGCAGAACTGGATACGAGTCTACCAAATTCAACAACTGTCATCCTCTTCTCCCCGAGGTCTTTGGCAACCACCAATCTACTTTCTGTCTCTATAAAATTGACTTCTCGAAGCAACTTCTATAAGTGGATTTATGCAATAGTTGTCCTTTTGTGACTTTTCTCTTAGCATGATGTCCTGAAGTTTCATCCATGTTGTAGCATGGGAGAGAATTTTCTTCCTTTATATGGCTGAATAATACTTCATTGTCTGTGTACACCATGTTTTGTTTATGTAGGCCTCTGTCAATGACCACTTGGGTTGTTTCCCAAGTGTGGGAACCTTTTTCAGCTATTGTGAAAAATGCTGCCATGATAGTCTTACAGTATTTTTAATTTATTCTGTTTCATTTGTGTATGGTGATCAGCCATCTAAATCAAAAATGTATTTGTCATCTTTCTCATCCATATCAGAAAAATATCATGTGATATAATGGCACTTAAAAAACTTGCTTAAATTTTGTCTTGTAGAGGCTTCAAGCCCTTCTTAGCCTAGCATCCTGCCTGTCTCCTTTGCAGTGGTGGGAATGCATGCTGAGATGGGGTTGCTCCCAGGAATCATTGCTGCTGCCAATC